CCTATGGGAAGCACGGAAATGATTGTGAGCTTTTTGGTGTTTGGATTTTTTTTTTTTTTCCCCTTCTGCCCTTCGTAGCACCTTGGGGAAAAACATAGGAGAGGGATGTTTTCCCTGTGCAGGATRCTTTCCTGGCTGTGCTGTAAGGATGCAGAGGAGCTGGTACTGTCCTGATGGTTCCTGATGGTGATGGAAAGTGCCGAGCATCTCTGCCTTTCCTCTCATCTGGGTGATGCTCCAGGGACATCACCTGTGACAGCTTTGAGCCAGTGGGGGAATTGCTCACATTTGTGTTGCTGTGACATGCCAAAGCAGAACTGCAAGTCACAGTCTGTGCTTGAAGGGATATTGCYTTGAGAAGCTGCATGTCTGTCTAGAAATTATGTTCCACGCATAACCCTCTAAGAATTAGTGAGAGCTTGGCTGCACAGATAGCAGAGAGAAAGAAAATGAGAAGAAAGCCTGAAGAAAATGAGAGAAGATTGGTGTGCCTCTGGGCAAGATTGCCATACTTGCCCTGTGCTGAGCTTCCAAGGAAAACTCCTTCCCACAGGGATACATCCATGCAAAATTAGCACCGACAGCCAGTGGTGGCCACAGGAGCTGCTCTGTCCTCTATCCAGCCCTAGGAAAAGCAGGGACAGGTTTTACCTGTCCCAGCCCTCACACCCTCAGTGGGTGCTGGCACTRGGGAGGACCCAAGTGCGACTTCAGGACATTTTGGGGCAGCAAAGCTTTGCTTGCTCTCGTGGGAATGCTACAATTTTCTAGAAAACAATGGATTTGAAAAGTACATGGAAGACAGAGCTTTGCTTTTTCGGAGCAACACAATTCTGGACCCTGGGGTCATGGTCCTTGAGTGCTGAGGGCTTGAGAATGCTGTTGGAACCTGCAATAGTCAGTCATGTGGGACTCGTGCTGGTGGGGAAGGCTGATGTCTCTGTCCCCCTCCCTTGTTGCAGTACTCTGCTGTTGCGTTTGGCTCCAGTCTTTCCACCCATCCACCCACCGGCCTTTTATTCATCAAAAGGTGTAGAAGAATTTGCAGCAAAAGTAAATKAATTTATTTTCACCCACCATCCATCCTGGTCGGCTGTGTGGGGGAGAGCTGTGCAGCTCCTGATGGTGGGGGGAGGGTGGGAGAGAAGGCTTACAGGCACAKCCAGAGCACTGCAGGGTGTCCTCCTTGGCAGGAGTGCAGGACATGTGGCCAGCGTGGTGCGGAAATCCTCGGGATGTGGTGCCAGCAGCGGTGCCTAGAGACTGAGGGCAGCCCTGTGCGGTGAGAGATGGGTGGGGGAATTACAAGAATGTCCTCTTTGGTCCTCAAAAGCTGGGAATCATCCTTAAATTTAGGGCAGAAAGACAGTGCCATCTTGTGTACTTTAAGGCCCAGGGTGCTCTCAGCTGAAAAACCACATCTGACCTTGCTGTGAAGCATGAGCAGCCCAAAATCACGTATGTGCYATTTTGTACCTTTTTCATAGGTGTGTGCATCACAAGATGGGGTTTCTTTATGGAATGGTTTGGGTTGGAAGAGACCTTTAAAGGCTGTCTTGTTTCAGTCCCTCTGCCCTGGGCAGGGGCACCTTCCCCTAGACCAGGTTGCTCAAAGCCCCGTCCAACCTGTCCTTGAACACGTCCAGGCATGGAGCAGCCAYGGCTTCTCTGGGCAGCCTGTGCCAGGGCATCACCACCCTCATYGTAAAAAAGTATTTTCCTTTATTATATCTTTTGCCTGTGATTTCCTGATGTCAAGATGATGGGGTGAGGCAGCAATCTGAGTGGAGTGAACTAAGGGAGGTGGTCGTGGGCTTTCCATGGCTGCTTCTCCTCACTTTTCCATTTGGAAGCCCAGAAGGAAGCCGGGGAGAGTGCTTGGCGTTTGTCTGGAAACAGCTAGTGCCTCTGGAAGCTTCTGTGCTTAAATCCAAGACATCCATGAAGAGCAGATCCTGGAGTGAGCAGGAAGGGCTTTGGATGACCATAGCAATGGGTTGGGAGATGGAAGCAAATGAGGGTGACGGCAAAGACAGAGATGCTGCTGCGAGATGAGTATCTGGAAGGGCAGGCAGAGTTGTAGCTGTCAGGGTCTGTGTTTATCTTTGCAGCAGTGATTATTTTCAGATAGCATGTGAGCGAGTAAAACGTCAGCTCTTGCTAATAATAGCGCTGCAAACAAGGCTGTTGCTCGTTACTGACAGCTGAGATGAAGTTGGGTTTGTTTGATCCTAGGTATGAAAACGTGTGAAAACAAGTCATTCTCTGAGTCAATATCTCAGTCCAGATGAGGAGACCCTCTCCCAGCCCTGGGGTGGGGCAGTGCTGGGTGTTTTTCCCAGGGTGCTTCCAGAGTTAAGTGCTGCTGGAAGAGTGGATATGGTGAGGAGCTGCAGCTGGCCAGCATTGTGGAAAACGTGGAATCATCAGATAGTTTGGGTGGAAAGGACCTTTAGAGGTCATCCAGTTGAGTCTAGGTAAAAAGCAATCTGAGGACCTTCAGCATTCTTGCTGCGAAACAGGAGGGTTTTCCTGGAGGAGAGAAAGTCTCAGCCCAAGGTTGGCAATACGTGTGTGATCCCAAGACACTTTCAGCAGCAAATCCCCATCCGAACGGGACATGGCTGCCTGGAGGAGGCATCTGACARCCCCGTGGGGGAAAGCTGTTCCTGGGTTTGTAGCCACCTTTGGGAACTTGAGGTGTCTTTAGCAGGCTGAAGGATCTGGSTGCTGGTGATCCCTGGAGCAGACACAGACCTGAGGAGGACAGCTGGGTACAAATCTTGGGGATGATGGCACTCGTGTCAACGAGAGCTGAATACAACTCGCATTGTTTGAGCAGATGTGTCCTGTCTGTGGCTAATTATAAGTGTTGTGTGCACAACACACACTGGGAGATGTGCCAGATACTATTTCTTTTCRCGTTGAACTCAAAATCATTATAATTAAGCTTTAAAATTGTAAGTAAAACCAGCAAGGAGCTCAGGTTTGCTGTCATGCTGCTTGCAGTGGGGTCCAGCCCCTGCTGGGGTGGACAGGTGTGGGTGTATGGAGAGGGTGGTCAGAGGGGCTGGGAATGTGGAGGGTTTGGTGGCTCTGCTGTAGCRGGAATGTCCAGATTTGGGTTTTAAATATTCAGAATACCTCAAAGTACCAGAAACGTGCCATTTTACAACTGTGGGAAGTGTTGCTGAGCGTGCTTTAGCAGCCTCTCAGGTTTGGTGGGCACAGAGAAGAGGTGCTTGCTAAGAAGAGAAAATAAGGAACAGAAGTGGGAAGCAGTCGTGGAAGCAATTGTGTAACCTCGGGTTGAGAKGAACCTGAGTTGTGTCTCTGGTTTGAGGGGAAATGAGGCAGATTTGCTAAAGAAGCAGCTCCAGGAGGAGTTGCTGTGCATGGGGCTGGGTGAAGGAGATGTGGCCACTGGCTGATGGCTGCTTCRTGGCCCTTTTGAGGGCTGCCCCAGGACTGGGGCTGCAGGGAAGCATCCCACCCAAACACGGGGGAATTCCTGAACCTTCTCTTTTGGGACTACACCACAAGAGCGGTGGCCGTGCACACAGGTGTGAGGATCACTGTGGCCCTGATGTTGTGGTGTGTTTGCCGTGTGGCCAGAGGTGTGATGGATGGCTGGGGAGCGGACTGGGCTCAGCCAACACGTGATGAGCAGTTTAAAACCAGCAATGAGCTCTCTACCTGCGATTTGTATGCAGAGGGAGGGCTGCTGTTGGGTTTCGGTGCTTGTAGGTGTTCGTCTGGGGTCGTGTCTGAATAAATCATGTTCTGTGATCCAAGTGAGYGCCAGGGAACAAGCCATGCTGTCAATGCAGCAGCAGAGCAGAGACATCTTAACTGCTCGTGATAAATGGGCCAAGATGGGCCCTGGTGTTTTAAAAATTAGCTGTTGGCCTAGATAGCAGCAGCACGATGACTTGCTCACAGGGGGAACAAGAGTGAGCATCAGCACATTCCTCTGAAGGTGCAGAAGAGCCTGGTGTACTGAGGTGAACCTGGGCCGGTTCCCCACCCCTTGTTTGTACTCAGCTTTTCCCTGGAAGCTGAGCTGTGCTGCAGGGAAGCAGGGAAGACCTTGGGCATCTCTTTCGGATGGTTTCACAGAGTCACAAGGTGCATTTGTCCTGCAGGCAGCAGCTGCAAAGGTACCTGCCACCACCCCATGCTTTGCTCTCCTCAGTGACAAAGCACTCTGAGTTGTCTCACTCGTGTTTCCCCGTGGTTTTTCAGGAGGGGAGGTCCTTTGCCCCCCTGAGCACCCCCCTGGGCTGTGTAACTCTGATCTTACAGAGACATGCCATGAATTTGGGTTGGAGAGATTGGCAGGGTTGGTGCTGAGGATGGAGCTGCTGTCCAAGTCGGGTTCTCTCCTGCTTAGCGCCCAGGAAGAAGGCCATTTCCTGAGCCAGGGATTTCTCCTGTGACGGGCTTCTCTTCCTCTGGATGAAGGAGTGTTGCTCCAGAGCACTAAAAGTCAGTGCTTCTCATCTGGCCAAGAGGATTGTCAGTGCCCACCGCTGGCGGCTGTATTGAGCAGTGGCTTTCTTGGGTGGTAGTTAACCAACTGGTCAGGCCACAGCTTGAGTCCTGTGGCCAGTCCTAGGCCCCTAAATTTAGGAAGGATGTTGAGATGTTGGAGAGTGTCCAGGGAAGGGCAATGAGCCTGGTGAAGGGTCTGGAGCATGAGTCCTGTGAGGAGCAGCTGAGGGAGCTGGGATTGTTTAGCCTGGAGGAGGCTCAAGGGAGTCCTCTCTACAGCTCCATGGAAGGAGATTGTAGCCTCTGGGCATTTTCCTTGGGAAAACAACATTCCCTTCACACTGTCAAGGAAAAAGAGACTTTGGTCCTTSTTTATGGCGGTCACTAGTCCCCATGTGTGACAGGTGGTTTGGGACCCCAAGCCCTGCTGCCAGCTGTGTGTTCAGCAATGGACACTCGTCCATCTGGGGTGRCCGCTGACCACATGTGCTGCTTTCTCTCCACAGGCTCCTGCTTCTGGGTTGCCGTCCTGGACGGCAACGTGGTGGGGATCGTGGCGGCGCGGGGCAACGAGGAAGACAACACGGTGGAGCTCCGCCGCATGTCGGTCGACTCCAACTACCGCGGCAAAGGGATCGCCAAGGCCCTGGGCCGCAAGGTGCTGGAGTTCGCCATGCTCAACAACTACTCCTCCGTCGTGCTGGGAACCACGGCCGTGAAGATGGCAGCCCACAAGCTCTACGAGTCCTTGGGGTTCAAGCACGTGGGTGTCGTYGAACATTATGCCCTGCCAGGGATGACACGCTCTTTACTGGAGAGAATGTTTTTCCAGGTCCGCTACCACCGCTACCGCCTGCAGCTGCGGGAAGAATAAAAAAAAAAAAACCCCAACCAACCAAACGAAAAAAAAATATTTTTTTCCCCACTCCTCTCCCTTTAAAAATAATAAATTACCCTTCTATTTCTCATCACCGTTGATTTGCCAATTTTGGGTTAGAGTTTTTGTACCCTCATGTTCATGTTTTGGTTTGCTCCGTTCAGCTCGATGGGCCGGCCGAGCAGCGCCCCTTCCTCGCATGCTGTAGGTGGTGGTGCTGGGAGTCCTGCGACCCCGCAGGGCGGCCTCTCCTTCCCAGGTACCTCCGTAAAGCACAGAAACTTACTGCAAAATAGTACAACTGCTCCGGTGTACATAGCCCTCTCCTTTTCCAAGTGTAAGATAACATAGTGATGCATTCATAATAGTGCAGAAATATTACTTGAATGCGGTTTTCAGTATTTCACGCACCAGTAAGTAGAATATGCATTCCTCTTACCGTAATCTACTGGTTAATAGTTTTCAGAGAAAAGGTGGGGGGCAAGCCCTGCTCCTCCACCCCAACCCGCTTGCTACAATGCATGAAGAGGAAAGCGCGTGCACGCACTCAAACACATCGCACTGCCGCCACGGCACTGGTGTTGCACTTTTTTTGGATGTGCCTCATTCTGCCAAATGTCTGAGAGACCCCGGGTGCATCCGGTAACCACGACTCCGCTCCACCTCCCCCTCCTTCCTAAGCCAGCACAGACTCGGACCGGCTGAACTGAGCCCCATTGTACCATAGTGTGAAGTTAAGATCAAACCTAAGCATCTCCCGCGCTGTTCCGTAGCCACGCGTAACCTGCAGTCCTGGGCCAGACTCCGCATGTGCGTTGGACTTTCTCTTTGCTGCCTTTTGGGGGTTTTTGTTTGTTTTCATCTTATTTTTAAGGGTTTATTTTTTTGTTGTTGTTGTTGTTGTTATTTTTAGTTTTGGTTTTAGTTTTGGCTTTTGCTGAATGGTGTCGTTGAGGCGTAATGGAGGCTGCAGTTCCTATGGCAACACATTTGCACATTAATGTGCGCACCAAATCTCACCACTTCAGAGAAGCAACGTGTGACAGATAATAGCATTTTGGGGAGCGCCGGGGTGGGGGGGAGYGTACTTATTATCTTAACCAGCTGCTTGTTTGATAAATGTAGATGGCCTCACTGCAGCCTTCCATCAAAGGTAATTAACTGCTTTAATGATGTCAGATTTGTGAATTGTACAATGCAAAAAGCAATGCAAAGCAGATTCGGCATGTGTCTGTACCCGGTATGTATGTACAGTGCCTGCCAACTAAAGAATAACCAAGACTACAGCTTCTTCTAGCCTGAGATATCAACTTTTATAACTTACTTAAACAAATAGCAACTTTGCATGAATTACATCTTGGGGAAAAAGAAGACTGGTAGGTTTTAATTTTTAAAGCGTGGTATCAGAGGTATTACAGAAAATAATTTCTGGCTGCACTTAATTTTGGGTGGGTAGAGGGGAAGGGAAAACCCCTTTAGTTACTGGGGAAAAAACAATTACTGCTTTATGAAGTATTATGTGTGTGGTGAGTGGGAAACCGTCCCCATCTCATCATGATGAAGTCAGTAAAGGGTTAGAGCATGTGTTAACCACGCTTGCAAATACAATGGAAGAGTCAGTAGGAGAGCCCCAGAAGGAGCCTTGGGGTGTCTGGAGAGGACAGGAGRCCCAGGGCAGATGGAGGGACAGACTGCACAAACCTTGGACCTGGGGTGCTGCCTGTCCCACTCCTACTGGGAGCTGCCCTTTCCTCTCCAGCCAGAGGCTTTCCCAGCACTGAGATGGGGCCAGCRATGCTGAGGGAGAGCAGAGGGGAGGGGGCTCACCCCATCCCTGTGGGGCCACGGGCCAGGCACTGATGCTGGGGATGGAGGAGCCATTTGGCACAACCCCAGCTGCCCTTCAGTGCCTGGCTCGGGCTCGGTCCAGCCCCTGAGGAGTCGGAGGGGCACAGTCCCAGCAATAATGGGGTAATGAGGATGGTGAAGGACACTGTAGCAAGAGACCATAAGTTTAATTAACAAAATTTCTGTATGGGGCACTATATTTTTAAAAGTCTTTCTATGCTGTACATTTCTCCTGAAGCTGAAATAATGTACTGTTGGTAGGGGTTCTTGTATAGTGTACAGAAATTGGGCAGAATATTTTCTTGCTGCATTCAGTGATTTATTAACCGAAGTAAAACAGACAAATATAAAGTGCTAGCAAAAGTTGAAAGAAAAACAAAACACAAAAGTTCGTGCCTTTTTTAGTTTATTTTTCTGTTGCTATATAATCACTGCACTAAAACCTTGCCAGAGGGGTAAAAAAAAAACAAAAAAAAAAACCCCAAAACAAAAACTAGTCTCTTAATAAGGGAGGAATATGTAAAGTCTAAATTGAGCGTTAATTTTTTTATTGGCTATTTAATTAAACTAATGTTGCTGGTTTTATTTGATACCTGTGCCTTTGTAATAAAACTCCACATCCTGTCAGAAAATCCGAACCTGGAATAAATCCCACCAGATCCCAYGGACACAGAAGTACCATCAGGTTACCAGTATTTTCTATTAAAACGTGTAAACTTTAACTGATGATATTACAGTATCTGATCGTAATACCTGTTGAGTTTCCTGGGGAAGAGGTGCTTTGGAAAGGCGTGGCTTTGGGGGTGCTGTCTGCATTCCTCCCCAGCACATGGAAATGTACTGATAAGGATTGAGTTGTTGCCACTTGGCCAGTAGCTGCCAAGAAAATTTATTCCCTTAATGCTTCTGCCAGTTGCTTTGTGGCTGGGCTTTTTGGAGGAAATCCAGCTGGTTGATCCCAGCTCTCCAGCCAGGACAGCTTGTTTCTAAAGGAAAGGGCTGGCTGCCAGATAGGCTGGGATTTGCTCTCCTTGGAAGATGGAGCAGGCTGCCAGAGCTGCATCCCTGGTGGCAGTGGTGGGACAGGGCTGCACAGCCTCTGGTGCTGGTGTTGCTGTTCTCCCACCCAGGGCTGCTCTGAATAAGATTAGACAAGGTTGGACTTAAAAGCACTGAGTGAATACTGTTGTTTTGTCTGCATTCATGGGAAGTTTCCCTAAATGTGATAGCTCAGGCTTAGCTCTGGAGTCAGAGTTGCTGGGTTCTGGACCGTGCCAGGCTCACCCGCTGCGGGGGAAGCGCATGGGCAGAGCACAGTGCAGCTCACAGGGTGACCATATTGAGGTTGAGCTGCCCATCCCTCTTGCCCTGCATCTTTTACGGTGCACTTGTTTAAATAAAGTGCTTGGAAAAGATCAGCACAGCCCTTTCTCTGGGCCTGAGCATCATCTCCTGACTCTCCCCATCCCAGTTTAGTGRCTGGGTGGGTGAGAAGCAGTAAAAGACAGTTGTGAGTTTGGTCCTGAAGAGAAGAGGTGAGGATCTGGACCTGTTGCCTGTCCTGGAGTCTTGATTCCAACACAGACTGACATCAGTGTGAGATGGGAGGGATTTTCCTGATTTRCTTTGGTGGTTTCTCTTTCCAAGGACAATGCTGGCAGCAGTGTGAGGAAGAGGGGAGCAYCTCTTGGGTTTGAGCCCAAGAGTGGCAAATGTGGTGGCTCAGACCACTTCACATTTAGGTGGAGGATGTGTTAGAGATGTGGAAGCACTTTCCACAACTGCTCTTAATTTGCAGTTTCCTCACCTAGCTGCTCTCTGCTTAGACTGGGGCTTTTTTTGCTAATCCCTGTGCACCACACTGCTTAAGTGTCCTTTGCTTGGAGGGGCCTGGGACAGAGCTCTTGCTCCCTGAGGAAAGCACTAGGCATCATGTCCAAAAGTTAAAAAAAAAAATAAAGGGAGCAAAGAAGGGAAAAATTGCATTACTGTGTCAGAGATCCACAGCCTTGGGGCTGCCCCAGCCCTCTAGCACAKGCTGGGCCATTCCCTGTGGAGTGAGTGGGAACTTGCTCCACATCCTGAGCAAATTGGCATCTCAAGCACATGTCATATTKGGCAATAAGCTCCCTGGGAACCTTGGCCCCTGAACAGATCCAGGTTGATAATGCTAAGCAATCAAACCAACAAAGAAAGTGGTTTCTAATGTAGCTTGACACCCTTAAATTTGTATTTGTTGTAAATTCATGCTGTRTTTTCCCTCTGTGAAGCAGACAGCACCTGCAAGACACTTAGGAATGGCAATTGTGTCTCTGCTGGGAAGTGCAGAAAAGGTCAGGGCATTGCCATCAGYGGAGAGTTGTTGTTTTCCCTCCTCTCCCTGTCCCCGTGTGTGATGTTGGATGCTATTTCTGAGAAAGCCTTTACCTCTCTGCAGGAATGGTCCTGCTGCTTGATCCTGTGCATGGGTACAGCCTGCAGCACTGGATGCAGAATTGCCTTTCAGCAAATGCAGTGGGCAAATGACCCAGGGGACATCTGGGACTTGGGGTCGCTTTACCCCAGCGTTCCTCCCCTTGGGAAATGAGGATGATGCCTTCACAATGTCAGAACTGAACATCCCTGTGTAGGAGAGGCAGGAGGGGGTCAGYRGRTGGKGCTGGGGCTGGGATGTGCCTGGTGRGGTYCTGGTSCTGCACACCTGAGCAGGAGCACAAAGTGTTTGCTGCTGGGAGGGTCCCAGGCCCTGTCCCCGCTGTGGCCGACTGGGAGAGCACAAAGTCCTGTGGTCAGAGTYCCCAAGGGAACTGTGGTTTTGCAGAACTTTGTCCTGATCCTCGCTGCTGCTGTTGCCCACCCATGTGTGATGCAGGGCTGCTGCCTTTTAATTTGCCAGGTTTGCTGGCTGAGGTGAAAATGGGTAGAAACTGACTGCAGGGACTTCCAAATTGCCAAGCACACGAAGGCAGGAACCAGCTCTGGTTACCTCTGAATTAACAATCCCACTTGGGGTGTGCTGGGGCCTGTGTTTYGTCAGTGCTGGTGTGATGCTCTTGGTATGCACTCTACTTAAAACTTAATAAAGACATTTTAATTCCACACTAACTGGAGTCTTGCAGTGGAATATACTGTACCACATAAAGAAAATGGAGCAATGCTAAGTGTTAAATAAGCTTTAAAATGCAAAAGGAATTTTTTTTTTCTCCCTCAAAATAGATACACATAGAATCTTGAGGAAATACTGGTGTGCTCTTGCATCCCTCAGTTACAGAGACTATGCAACAGAGCTTATGYTTGTCTCCCACCAAAATCTGCTACCTGAATGGTGCTTGGGAGTACCTTTCATTGAAAATAAACCAGGAGATCAATCTGAACAACTGAGAAGTTAGTCAAAACACAGTATTGTTTAAAATAGCAAGCTCCAAGTCAGCATTTGGAGTTTGATCACTGTTTAAAATCACTGTTCAGTGCTGTCTTTGTATTGCACAATGGTCACCTGTGGGAGAGAACATGAAYATGCTTTTAACATCTAAATAGCATGAGACAGACCTAGTGAGACCAAGAGCATAACAAATACATAATGCAACTGTAAATTTATTTACGAATAACACGTTTGAATGCAAAAGCAGCTACTGCTATGTAAGCATAATGAACTTATAACTAACATTGTTTCCAATTTCTTTTCCTCCAAAGCTTAATCCTTTTGCCTTGTAATATGTATATTTGATTTTTTTTTAAATGTAATTAGGTTTAACAAAGCATCAGTTGCTTTGTGAGTTGTACTTATGATTGTGCTGGGCCGTTAGCTTTAAGCAGTTTGTGTGCTTGTGTTATTTTATTAAAGCAAAAGTCTTCTTGAGACAAATGCGGTAAAGAAAAAATAATATTTTTTGTAGTGTTAAGCAGATGTGTGGTATGCATTTGGAAAATGTCCAATGTCAGTTGAAAAAAACAAAACAACAAACAAACAGGCTAAATTGCTTCCCAGAACTGCTCATGTTTAAGGCAGTGGCTTACTCACTCACGCCTAAATAGAAACTTGGATTCCCCCAAACAGCCTCTTACGCTG